CTCTGTCTCTCATTCTCTCTCTCACAAAAAAAAAAAAAAAAAAAACTAGCAAGAAACAGAACAAGATGATTTATTAATTGAATGATAAGGGTGTTATGTGGCCGTTCAATTTACATTTTCACATGCAGGTATACCCCGCTTTCTGAATGTTCACGTTCTGCCACCTCATTTTTACAAAAGACCTACATTAGTATGGTAATGGCTTTTTTCATAAAAATGAAAATGCTCTTTGGATTTCTTTCAGTTAGCAAAAACAGGTACTAATATAGGTCTTTTGTAAAAAACAAAGTGGAATTAACCCAGACTTTTAGAAAGTGGGAGATACTCCTCTCTTTCTGCTATTTCAGCTTATGAAAGGTTTCACGGGAAAGCTCTACTTTCAGATAGAAAGCAAAATTGCAAGGTGTTTACAATAGACTTTCAAATGAAAAGGATTGTGAATCATAAAAACAGTAAAGTCCTATTCTGTGTATTGGGTGCTTGTATATGCACGTATACAGAGGTTATGCACGAAGAAGACAAGAACAATATGTTAACTAGTGGTGGGTCATTTTTTATATTCTTCATTATACTCTTTTTTTGTATTTTCCTAATACATATTTGGAACTGTAAGGAACACATAAGCCTGTTACAATCAGAAAAGCAATCAACAGTAAGTGGAGAAACGAAACATAATACGCGCTGACTCCCATGTGCCGCCGGGAGCGGCCACCAGTATTCTAGCCCTACTTACTTGGCTACGTAACTAAACAAACCAACAGGACGTTGCTGTTAACAACTGCTGGGAAAGTAGGATGAACTTGGAAAGTCCATAGCTACTGACTTCCTGGATCTCAGCTTCCTCATCTATAAAGTGAGAAGAATCACAGTAACTCCAGACAGGCTTAACTAGGTATATATAAAGCACATTGAAATACTGCAGTATTTAGATGGATTGCCAGGAACTTCTCAATGTTATTTATACTTGCCTCACTATTTATAGAACTGTGGCATATCCCCTTTCATAATAATGAGGATAGCTACCATCTGTTGGACAAATAACTCTGTGACCAACACTCTACCGATGTTATCTTATTTAATCTTCACAACAGTTCTGTGAGGGATTTTTATCCCTATTTCCCTTATGGTGAACAGGGACACAGAGAGGTCAAGTGATTTGGCCAAGATCACACAGCTAGTTAGTCACAGAGCAAGGGTTTTATCCTAGATCTGTCAGACTTGAAAGTTCATGCTCTTTTTCCTATAACATATGGCTCTGTGCTTCGCAAGAGGCCCTCCTCCAGATACAAATATTCAAAGTGTACGGTTGCCAAAAGATTAGCTTCCTTTCAACAACTTGTCTATGGGAGAATGACAAAGGAAGATAAATACTACATGAGTGAGGTAAAGGTTTATAATTTGTCAAGTACCTACTTTGAACATTCCTAAAAAAAAGTATTGTCTTGTTGGAGAGCTTACTCATATATTATGAAAAACTACTGTGTCCTGGATATCTTCCAAACCTTGTGAACACTTCCAAAATTTAAATCTTCTTTCCTCCCAAACTAACTCATCTGCCTCTATTCTGTGATGGCAGCATCATTATTTATCCGATCATGCAAGCCATTTCCCCCTCCTCTGATCGTCCACATCAAGTAAGAAAACTGACTGTTGATTTTACCCGTGATGTGTCTTGAAAACATCACCTTTTTTCTTTTTTCATTACCTCCATATTGGAGTAAGCCCTCATTCCCTTTTGCCTCAGATGATTACAGGAGACTCTAAAATCTCCTTCCAATATATCACTCGTACCACCATCAAAATTATCTTTCTAGAAAGCAGACTTGAGCGTGTTATTTCCCTGCTTAAAAATCTTTTCTATCTAATCATCTCTCAGAAGATGGATTCCTTCACATGGCACATGGCTCTTGCACTCCAAAGCTCTAGACTTTATTTCCAGCCTCATCTTCCATCTTCCAGTATCACATCCTTACATTGTCACTACATTAAACTATTTGAAATTTCTCAAATATATGAAGTATTCCCACACTATTATTTAAATTGTATATTGTCCTTGCAAACAAAAGAGTGTATGAATTAAAAAGTATAGAAGCAATGCTGACAAGTGAATACTGGTCGTGTCAGAGCACAGCTATTATTTTAAGAGAATATTTTTTACTTCAAACATAACTCTCTGTTCCTTCAATGTTGAGCTTCTAAAATCTATATACTAGAGCCGTATGTAAATCCTGGAGGCTACTTTAGAAAGAGAGTTAATTTGGCAAATCCATTGATGAAAAGCATTGATGTAATCAATTGAAATAAGGAAACAGAAGACTTTACAAAGATAAATAAATTTAGAAAAGCAAGCATGACACGGATTACAAAATCAAGAATGTTGTATTTGAATTTCAGTTCTATTGCAGGCCTTCTTGACATTTTAAAAGCATTACTGATTCTCAAATCATTATTTTGCTAGGCAATAGCCATTGCCGTCATTTTGAATGTTGATTTTAATAAATAAAGTATTCTTTTAGATGTTTACATTTTTATCCCCTCCCCAGCCTGCCCAATGAATATTCTTTGTGTAATTAATCCATCATGATTAGCAATATATGGCCTACCCCCAAAAGCAAGGACCTCTCTGTCTTTTGGCATTGTTTTCTTTTATCGGAGGATTGACAAGCACAGAATTATTTCACTCACTTGGCAAGCTTCTACCAGTAAGAAGTACAAGTCACAAATCACAGGACACTTATTTACATTGGTTATTCTTTTTCAGCTCACGCACTACAGTGACATTCTAAAGTTAGGCAACTAAATAAGAATTAAGCTTTGGGGCTTTGGATCCAAATCAAACTTGACTCCTTGAGCTGATGTTTCTTTTCTTTTCTTCTGACCCTCTGGGCCTAATTTCTCTGTGTTTACAGTATATGCAAACATGTTTCTCATTAGTGTTTATTTACCACCACAGGAATCACTTTGAACTCTTCTAATCCTGCTGGAAATGTTTTTCTCAAAATAAACCCAGATCACATTGGGTTTTATCGTGTAAATTATGAAGTAAAAACCTGGGAAAGGATAGCTACCAGTCTTTCCATCAGGCACAGGGTAAGAGTAACAGTGGTCGTGAATTGTTTTATTTTTGTTCTAAGGACAGTGTCTTGATGATATTATTTTTTTCAACATGCTTTGCTTCAGGAATTGTGCTACTTACCTCTTTTTCTTCTCCTTTTCAGGACTTTTCTCCTGCTAACCGCGCAAGTCTTATTGATGATGCTTTTGCCTTGGCAAGGTGAGTTTTGGAATGACATTAGACTGTGGATTTTGTCATAAATCTCTTTTCTTGATGAATTGCAATGAAGTTTAAGTATTAATTATAGTTTAAAATATCCAAAGTCACTATTTATAACATTATTGTTTTCCTTAACTCTCTTTTTTAAAACTCACATAAGCCTCATAGCCAAAATACTGAAATTTGCTCTTAGCAGACACACAAAAGCTCACCTACCCTATTGACTTTGAGTAGGGTTCATCTATATCAGAGCCCTTGAGCTAATTAGGAGTGACATTTGCAAGTGCTCAAAAGTGCACCTTCGTAATTTGATTTAATAAAACGACAATGTGTTTCATTAACTTACTTCTATGAGCCTAAGCCCACTGTATGAGTTTATGGCTAGAGTTGTCAACTCTTGTTCAGGTCATTAGGGTAAGAAGAATGAGACATGGTGCTCTAGGATTGATCAGAATTAAGGTACCGCTTAAGAAATTTGACTTTTTTGGTTTTCATGTCTTGAAGGTGACCTACACTTAGAAAAAAAACCCATCAACGTAGATTAGGGAAATGAAGAAGTAGTAACCACAGTATCTTTGAGATTTTTTGTTTTGTTTTGTTTTCAAGTAGTCTGACACTACTAATTCAACAAGTGTTTGTTGAATTTCTGGTACTTCTGTAGGAGCTAGGGCTGGTTTTTAGTGGCCTCATCCTAGATGCAAGCAGTGTACTGAATGAGTGTACTGAGAATGAGATGCTACTTCCTCAGAAAGCCTTCACTGGCCCCTTTGTCTAGGTTGGGTGTCCCTTTCGCAGACCCCTGTGTTTCGCCACAATATTATACTGTCATTTCTTATTAACAGTCCATCTCACCTACCTAATTGTAAGTTATGTGAGGGTAGGCACCCAGATCATGTTCCTGTTTATTTTATTCCCGGCTTCTAACTGTGACTGGCCCAAGGCAGAAGCTCATTAACTATGAGCCAAACACATGTCTGAAAGATAATATACCAGCACTCTAAAGGCCTGGGAGAACTGTTTTCCACAGACTTCCTAGATGAGATACTGGAAGTCAGAAAACCTTCTTGACATTTTTTAAGGAGGGGATGGATAGGGTTATAAAACAGGCTCTGGAACGATTAAGATCTTGGTTCTTTAAAACCTGGAGTAAATTTCTCAACCACTCTCTGACTCGATCTCCTTATGAGAAAAATGGAGATGACCTTAAAAGATTCTTGTGAGAAATAAATGAAATAATGCACGTAAAGCACCTCAAATAATGTCTGGCCTATAGCAAGTGCTTAATAAAGTGTACCACTTGACTGTACCAGACACTGCATAGGCCTGGGAAATTAAGTGGTAAAGGAAGATAATCAATATTATAAAATACAATAGAACCCTTAAGAATTCTTTTGGGGGAAAACTCTCCTAGGAATGCATCATGACTTTTTCCAAAGCTTGGCATCTTGGCTTTTAGCAATTACACAGAACTACAATATCTTTATAATTTAATTCCCATCAAAACACAACGCAGACAGTTCTTTTTGCTTTAAGAAGCGAAAGCCTCTTGAACACGTCTCTATGGGGCACTGTGTATAAAGCAAATAATTCACACAATTGAAAGACTTTCCTTGCATTTGCTCAGCTCCTTGGCCGTAGCCCTGTAAAATTTTGGAAAGATATGGGAAGGAAGAATGTGAAACTCATTTGAAAAACAAAAAATATGTAGAATCACACAGGAACGGGTCTGGAAAATACCTGAGCAATCACCTGAGCTATTCAGTTATCACCCAATTTCCTTCTGTAACACATGAGGGAAACAGGACTCAGGGAAGTAGAGTCCACCAGTGTTAGCTACAGCTAAGTGCAGTTCCCTCAGAAACTTTAGGGAGAAAAAAGGGGAAACATGTAGTTAAACAGTAAGTGCCTGTGATAGGATAAGAAGTTATACAGTTCTACTTGGGTGTTCAAAAAAGAAATGTAACTATCATGTTTCATAAGCAGGGCTAAAAGAGTGCCTCTAAATATAAAAGTATTGTTGATTCCCCTGTCCCCAAATTTGAGGAGCTAGTACTCTTACTGCCCCAGATGAATATCCAGATGGGCTCATTTGTTCAAGACAAGGAATAAAAATTCTCCTAACCACTTCAAGTCCCTCAGACAGGCTTAGTTTGAGTTTGAGCCCAGTTCAGTAAAACGATCAAAGTTACCAACTGCATTTAAAGTTCCTCCCTGCCCCCAACTCAGGCTGGTGTCTGGCCAGCCACCTGCAGTGGGAACCAGGTGCTTGATGTCTTTGCCATTTTGTTGCATGGAACTTCCACTCCTCACTCACCAGGCTGCCTCTGATTCCTCCAGAGCTAAGGCAAGGAGAGCAGGGAGGGAGAGCAGGTGAAGGGAGAAAAAGATCTTGACATGCTGTCTATGTTTGGCCCTCTCTGGACTTTGAAGATGTTTAATACTGACTCATTTTCTTGTGTGCTGTTTTCATGGGGTATTTGCCATCCATACCCATTTTTATTGCTAAGAGTCTTTCTCTTGCAGTTCCTTGAAGTGGGTAAGTGAAAACCTCTGAACCACGACTGGCCCATAGGAAGTATTCACATATCTTTTCCCCCAACAAAATCTGGGAGGATGAGCCACCCCATGCAGTCTTATCTCTTCACTCTGAGGTTAGAGCGGTAGTCAGCCGCAGTCTCTTATCCTTTAGATTTCTCAGGGTATCAGACTCCAGGCCACTGTGCCCCCAAACTCCAAGATAAAGGAGGTAAAACTCTTCAAGTGATTTCATCAAAGCCCTTTTTCCTAGGCATTATGTGAGGGGAAAAGCCTCCTGCAACCCCCTCTCCCCTGTGGGAGGAGAGCATTCACAGTACCCTGACAGCTCTCCCCCACGAAGCCCTCTGTTAAAGCCCTCATTCTGCCCCTAGCTTCTCCAATGCCCTTGATAGGCTGGTGATGGGTTATCAGCTAAGGGTCACAAAAATCTCTCCTGACCATGTTCGTTCCAATTTGGTGGGCCTGCATCTTACTTTGGGGTTTAGGCCAACCGGCCTGGTTTGGGGGTTAGGCAAGGGGCCTTGCCAAAACGGAGACAGAAAGAATCCTTTTTGTCCACCTGTTACAGTAGGGTTTTCCTTTTCAATAGCTTCCATTGTGCTCTGTATCCCACTGTGTGCTAAAGCCAGGAAGAGGGTGAGGAATAACATAAGGGAAAGAAGAGAGCACTAGCTAACAAGCCAGTGGGTGGGAGCAGGAGTCTCTAGGTGAGGAAAGAATGGCAGAAAGAATGGCTTAAAAGGCCACCAAAGCTAATGATCCAAACAGAATTTCAGCCTGGCTTCACAAAGCAGGGTCCCAATGATATCCAAGGTGAGGAGCAAGTTAGCAAATAAAGGCCACCAAGTGAACATCAGCCACACCAAGATTACAGACCTCTAGGGTCACTGGTTTTACCATTTTATAGGTGTTTGCCGAGGTAACCAGAGCACAACACAGAATTGGATAAGCCACTTCACCCTCCTACCCCCCACCCTCATGCTGCCTTTTAAAGAAAGGAGAAGTAGGGTAATCAGAAAGACTCCAAAAAGAACCTAGTTGTTTGCAAAAAGACTGTTATAAGCCAGAAATCTGAATTTAGTTGGCAAGTGAACACAGAAATCAGGCACAATGGGGACGTTTTGAAATTCTCCATACCACCAAAGGCTTTGCTGGGAAAGAACATGAGCACATCGGCTCAGCTGCATCCACCTAGGCACCTCTCCGAACCGTTTCTAATGTCCCAGTGAAGAGGGACATTTGATAAGACACTATGCTTAACTCAGCTTCTCTGAGGACTGTACTGTACTTCCAGGTCACACCCAGGGAAGCAAAAACAAACCTTTTGTTATAGGATCCCCCAAACTTCCTGGGTGCCTCAGCCCAAGATAGGAAGGCAAGAATTCTCTCATTAGATCCATTTGTCCTTTTTTCCATCAAGTTTGGTGGGAACTTTTGTTAAGTATAGCCTCCATTTTCTCCAGATGATAGGAACTTCTATGATTTAAGTCCATCAGGCATGGCTTTTACTAGATGGATGGAAGATTTTTAAATGAAGAAAATTATTGGAACACCTGGGTGGCTTAGTCCATTAAGTGTCTGATTTCAGCTCAGGTCATGATCACAAAATCCTGGGATCAAGCCCCACATCAGGCTCCCTGCTCAGTGGGGAGTCTGCTTCTCCCTCTCCCCCTCCCTGCTCATGTTCTCTCTCTCTCTCTCGCTCACTCTCTCAAATAAAAAAAAATTTAAAAAGATTTTATTTATTTATTGAGAGAGAGAGGGGGAGGGAGAGAGCACGAGTGAGGGAGAAGAATAGAAAGAAAAGGAGAAGCAGACTCCCCACTGATCAGGGAGCCTGACGAGGGACTCCATCCCAGGACCCTGGGATCCTGATTTGAGCCAAAATCAGATGCTTAACCAACTGAGCCACCCAGGCGCCCAAAAAATCTTTAAAAAAATAAAAATAAAATAAAATTCTTAACCATATCTGACTTTCAGAACTGCTGTATGCCTATGGATTTAACAAATGGAGTTTGAGACTCAAAGTTGCATAAGAATGCTGTCTTAGGTTGAGCTCCCTAGAAGCAGAGTATGAAATGCAGGTTCATGTACATGTAGTTTATTGAGAGAGTCTTCTCATGAAATAGGAAGTATGAAAAGCAGGATGGGGCAGGGATAAAAAGCTGAGCCATGATATGGTCTGAGATGGAGTCTAGCTTTGCCAGAATCCACTAGAAAGCTATGAATTGTGTTGTAGAGTAGGTCCAATTTGAGGGAAGCAGGCTGGCTTGTTGCCTTCCTGAATCAGAAAATTAATGGCATGGGGTCTCCGGAGGGATTGCATTACCTCTTAGGCAAGATGGATCTATTTGGCCGAGGGCTCTTCTCTGAAGAAGGTGGCAGCTGTGAGCCAATAGAGCACTGTAAGGGGATCTGAGAAGGGCACTAGAGATGTCTTTGTTCTCAAAACCAGGTCTTCACATGTGGTCCCATCAGTATCAACACCGACTAGGAGCTTGTGAGAAATGCAAATTCTTAGGCTCTACTCCAAACCTGCTAAATCAGAAACTCGGGCGGGGGGGTCCGGGAGTATATGATTTAATGAACTTTCCAGGTGTTGTTGATAGTTGCTCAAATTTGAGAATCATAATTCTAAATGATACTGCTCTTCCTCTGAGAATCAAATACCAGTAGGAGCTACAGAGTAACATAATTTGTGGGAAAAGAAAAGTACATCAGCTATGTTCTCAAAATGTTATCCCTATAATAACCAGCAAAAATTCACTCCCAGTCCAATGTTCTGACCATATGACTCAGACTTAAAGAACATAAATGATACCAGAATGGAACTATTGCATAATTATCAAGTGTGTTGGAAAAATAAGGCAGTAGGATAGAATATCGATTTTCAACATTTGAATACATAGTATTTTCTCAGAACCTCTAACCTTTGGATAATTGGATTCCCTTCTTACTTCTACTTATGCTACCTAATTAACTTTTTCATCTGGCCCTGGTAATTGAGACCCATTCCTTCTAATCTTTTCACTTACCTAAAATATACAGGCCACTTGGTTTCTGACCAAATGGTCATTCTTCCTAAACTTTCATTATTCTCTTTGCTAAATTGATCCTCAGAGCAACAACTATCATTCATAAACACCTTAAAAATCACTCGCTTGACATGGTTTTGCTCTATCCACCAGGGAAAATAGAGAATCATTAAAATTAGAAAATTCTCAAGTTTCAAATATCAACACAAAATTCTATAATTTTTCTTACTTAACAGACAGACATTCTCAATAAAACACTCCATTTCTCAGTATTATTTGTGCTTTTATTAAGGGAGGCTGCATGCTCCAAAATATAATTCTTTCTAAATGAGATCAGGAACTGAGAAAATAGAAGAAATCAGCTCTCTGAACTGAAAACAAACTCTGTTTCATATCTCATTAGTACAAATCAAATGATGCCAAAGATTTTCATTCTTATCAACCTGTCCAATACTACTAGTTCATCCTCTAATCAAACTCTTGGAGAGAAGTCAAGATATAATTACATCCTTCATTCACAAAATACTTTCAAATATAAATAGCATTCAATGCCTCAGTATTACTAATTCAATAATTCAAAAATTTTTTTTATTTTATTTTTAAAGATTTTATTTATTTATTTGAGACAGAGAGAATGAGAGAGAGAGAGCACATGAGAGGGGGGAGGGTCAGAGGGAGAAGCAGGCTCCCTGCCGAGCAGGGAGCCCGATGTGGGACTCGATCCAAGGACCCCAAGATCATGACCTGAGCCGAAGGCAGTCACTTAACCAACTGAGCCACCCAGGCGCCCAATTCAAAATGTATTATTTAATTTAAACTTTCAAAATGTAATTTGAAAAGACAGAATTACCATCTAAGGTTCTTTTTAAAACCTAGGCTAAAATTTGAGGCATAACAGATTTCTGAAAACAGTATTTCAAAAGGTTCTAGAATCTCTTTTAAGGAAGAAAAAATTTGATTCTTTAAACTTTGAAATGTCAATAGGAACTTCAAATTTTGTGGAGGAACAAAATCCATTTTTATTTATCAATATTGTTTGAAAATGTATGAAAAAGGAAGTGTTTTAATGGGAAAAACAAGTTCAGTTGGAATGTTTTAAACATTCATAATTCACGAGTATTGTTATGTTTCGTCTTCATATCAAAGGTAAATAATTTCAGTAAGATATAATTATCATGGTGCATTTGTAAATTATTTTCTTATGAAGTATTTTTTAAAGATTTATTTATTTATATATTTAGAGAGTGGTGGGGGGCAGAAGGAGAGGAAGAGAGAAAATCTCAAGCAAACTCCTTGCTCAGCATGGAGCCCGACGTGGGGCTCAATCCTACAACCCTGAGATCATGACCTGAACTGAAATCAAGAGTCTTTTACCTAACCAACTGAGACACCCAGGCGCCCCACATTTATATATTATAATCGGTTTGTGTCTATTCATCAATATTAACCATAGCTGAATGGCTTTTGTTTTATCCAGAACTTTGCCTCAGTGATTTTTCAAATGTACTTTTTAATGTTCTGTCTTCCTCTTTACTATTGAATATATGAAAGCACTAAGACATCATTGTGAACAAACCTCTTTGATTGGGTCCCCCCAAATAAACACATTTTCTTAATTGCTTAATAGAAGGGTTCTCATTAACACTGAATTCTATGATTTCCATATTAGTACTTTTAGTCAAATGAGTACTAGTCTATGGGTGGATTTTTGTTTTGTTTTGTTTTTAGTCTATGGTTTTTAATTAAAGGTTTTTTTTCTCTTCCTTAGAGCTCAACTTCTAGATTATAACATGGCTCTAAACTTGACCAAGTATCTCAGACTGGAAGAAGATTTTTTACCATGGCAGAGAGTAATTTCAGCCATAACCTATATCATTAGCATGTTTGAAGACGATAAAGAGCTATACCCTGTGATTGAGGTGATGTTAATGCTGTATCTTATGACCATAAGTGTGCAGCAATGAGCAGAATAGGGAGATTTCTGAGACAAGGAGCTTCTGAGAGACACAAAAGCACATCCGTGTGCCAAGTGAAATTAAAGGAAAGTACAACGACATGACTAGTCAAACCAGAGCTACTATCTCTCTATTTTTTTCAACTTGAAATGTATCAGTATTTCTGGTTCAGTATACCACTTAATGATATATTTTAGTGTTAGAAAGAACACAAGAATTAATATTTTAGTTACAATAGACAAGATACTAACTAGATCCTATTTTCAATGATTTATCTATGTTAAAATGAATTTATTCTTACTAAAATATAACATTATATTTCCTTATTCTTGCTGCTGTTATTTCCACATTGAGATTTTATTATAGGATAGTCATTCTAAATACTTTGCTTTGGGGTTTCTGCAGCACTTTGGTAGGACACTTGCAATTTTAAGGAAATTCTGGATTCAAAGATCTAGCTCTTTTACCTACTAAATGAAAGAACTTGGACAAATGATTTAATATTTGTGAGTCTTCATTTCCTTTGTACAATAGGAATGTTGGCACTTCCCTGCCTATGGCAATGGGATAGTATAGATCATATAAAATAAACATCCTTTGTAGATCCAAAGGCGGTATACATATATCAGTTATCACTATTTTTATTTCATCAATACTTTATTAATCTTCTTAGTGCAGTAAGTATGTCAGGTGTTACTCCATTTCTTAGAAATGTTAACTGAAAAGTAGAGGTTAAAAGGGGCTTACCTTAAATTTTATGAAACACTAGAGGATTCCAGGATGTTCTTATCTTCAGAATTGAAGCAAATTTGCCATGTGATAAGAACTGAAAACATCCCTTTCCTAAGGAAAGGCCCAAAGTCCTCTGAACTAGTAGGAAAGAAGATTACAACAGGGGGCTGTAGATCATAATAAATGAGAACCTGTTGATAAATAGTAAATTATTACTCATTGTACATGGTGCTTTTATTTCAGAAATACTTCCAAAGTCAAGTGAAGCCCATTGCAGATTTTCTGGGATGGAATGATGACGGAGACCACCTTACAAAGTTATTTCTTACATTTTTAAAATTAATTTTCATTTAATATTTGTTTGTGTATGTTAAAACATGTTAAAAAGTGCTCATGTCCCCAGCTTTGCATGTGTTTGTTTTTTAAGGTTACTCCGTGCATCCGTGTTAGGGCTTGCGTGCAAAATGAAAGATCAAGAAGCCTTGGACAATGCTACCCAATTATTTCAGCAGTGGCTAAGTGGGACTGTAAGGTGACTGTTCATGTGTTCATTTCTAGAGGAGTTCAAACTTAAAAATGAAGAATTAAAATCTCTGAAACACTGTTTCTTCTTCTAGGCTTCCTACAAATCTCAGGCTTCTGGTATATCGGTATGGAATGCAGAACTCCGGTAACGAGACTTCATGGAACTACACTCTTGATCAATACCAGAAAACTTCATTAGCTCAGGAAAAAGAAAAACTGTTGTATGGATTAGCATCGGTGAACAATGTTACTCTTTTGTCAAGGTAAATTTTTTTTTTCATTCATATGAGTGGCATGTGATGGTTTATGTGTCACGGTCACTTTAAGATGTGAATTAAAGTATGATACATTTCCAAGAACATCTATTAAAACTTATTTTCCTGGCAAGAAACAAAGTATCCATGTAAGAGTGGAATAAAGAAATGTAATCTCATATGAAAACATTCTGGGAGTAGGCAGTTTCTAGTTGTGAGCAGTGGTTCAACATTTTCATTCAGGACCTGGGGTATTTCTCTTTCTGTTCTGCCATCCTCAACATGTTGGATGTCTCATAACCTCTAAAGCTCCAAATGTTTTTCTTTGCACAAATATGTTCAGTGAAAGACGAACAAGAACAAAAGAGTTCCTCCTCACAAGACTTTGTCTTTTATGCTAAAGGTGAGTTATCTCTGCTTCCCCTCATAACCAGAACTGGATCACACTTGATCATTCTGGGTTATACTCTAGGTCTACCACTTGATCATTTGCCACCTAGGATTAACTTGAATTCCTTTGACTGATTTGAGTCATCACCATACTCTGAGGCTGGGGTAGGAGCCTACCTACTTCCCTACTATCAAGGATACCTTGATCCAAGCCCAGAACAAAATTGGTTTCTGTCATCAGAGAAGAAGTATGTGCACAATATGCATACACACACACAAAATGTATTTATATTACACTCAGAAAGACCGCTTGAAGCACACCTATGAGTCTTCTGCCATTACACATATGCCCCAAATCAACTAGCATCTGCCTTAATTCATTTGTTGCTTAGCTATGGTTTCTGAATTATTTACTGCATTCACTTAACCAACACTTATGAAGTCCTTTCTATGTGTAGGTATATAAATTGTGGGAATAAAAATGAATAAGACATGATATCTATCCTTGAGAAACTTATAGCTCATGAGAGAGGCAGAATATAGATAGGAAATTACGATGCAATAAACAGTTTGTAAGAATAACAGGAAGGAAAGCCAACAATACTCCTTCATCATCTTGCTTTGGGGTAGATGTCAATTCTCTTGCTCTTGGCCCTAAAATAGTCTATCAAGAACTTGATCATTTTGCCATTCCATAAAACATCATATTGATCCATTATTTTGATGGCACTGTGCTGATTATCTGATGAGAAAATTAGCAAGTGCTTACATGCCTTACTAAGACTCTTGTGAATTAGAGGATGAGTGATAAGTTCCACAAAAATTCAAGACTACCACTAAAGGTGCAGTTTCTGGAAGTTCAATGGTCTAGAGTATGTCAAGATATTCCCTCTAGGTACAGCTATGGCATAGAGTTAATAAAACCATGAGAGACCATGGACTCTGAGAAACAAACTGAGGGTTCTAGAGGGGAGGGGGGTGGGGGATGGGTTAGCCTGGTGATGGGTATTAAAGAGGGCACGTTCTGCATGGAGCACTGCGTGTTATACGCAAACAATGAATCATGGAACACTACATCAAAAACTAATGATGTCATGTCTGGTGATTAACATAACATAATAAAAAAAAGAAAAAATCTATTGATCTGGTCACTTAATTTATCTTGGACTTCTTTGCATTAGACTATACTTATAGCTAATTAATCTAACCATATAGGTTACTTTAGTTGTTTCTTACAATCTAGGGAAGAACAAGTAAGATGTAACTGCTATTCATTAGAAAATAAAAGAATAAATACTTTCCCTTAATTTACTGGCTCTTTTTTTTTTTTTTAGTTCAGGGGGGTAATAGTTAAATGGGTGAAGTGCTTATATACAATAAATTCAATTAATTTTTTAAAAGTTTATAGTTAACATTTTGAATTATTTTTCTATTTGTGTTTTCTTAGATATTTAGATTTGCTCAAGGACCCAAACCTAATTAAAACCCAGGATGTGTTTACAGTCATCCGATATATCTCATACAACAGCTATGGGAAGAATATGGCCTGGAATTGGATTCAGCTCAACTGGGAATATCTAGTCGACAGGTGGGATAATCAGATAATGGCTTGTTGTTCTCTTTGTTTGATACCATCAACAAGTTCTTTCTTTTTCTCTTTGTTGTACTTTCTCTGACATCTATACAATATCTGGAATGGCATATAGTTAGAAGTAAAGGATCATGGTATTTTCCTTCTAGGGAAGCAATAAACTAGTTGATTTTAGGCCTAATTCCTTTTCTGGAAATTATTGTTTCCAACTGATCTACAGAGTTCTGAAATCTGGAGAGATGCCTAAATTGTATTATTTTTAGTTTGGTTAAAACAAGTTAAGGTAACTCTCTCTGTTGTGTTAGCACCTACTATCATGCCAGGCACGTATTTAATTCTCAAGATTTAATGAAAATGAAGCGAGTTTCTGGACTTGGGTTCAAATTGGAGGCTTATATCTTACTGAGCTTATATGGATGATAACTTTTATCTCCCTTGACCAGATAATTATACTTTAGGTATTAAAGGGACCTATATTTCCCAGGCAATAGCAATTTTAAAATGGGAAGTAGAAAGGACAAGAGAGGAGCAAATCAAACTAAAGAGATGCTTTCCCAAATTTCTTATTTCTTCAGCCCCATTTAGAAGAAATGTTGCTATTCTTGGTCCTAATCCTCTAAATTTAGTGGTTTTTCCTATTAAAATTTTTTTTACAGACTATAAAGTAGAATCTAGATTATATATCCAAATAAATGTGTAAACATTGACCAAAAGACCCTTACTGTCTGTAATCCCCACACTGGGAAACAAGTTATCCTCCCCTAATCGCTCCTGTTTTCCCATCAGCACTACCTCATTGATAATGACTGCCTTATCAGAAATTCTAACTATGAAGATAACTTTTATTTCCATTCTCTTTTCTACCCCACAATTCATCAGGCTTCCATAGGTTCATTCACATTTCTCATCGTTCTGAGATCCAGATTATATCTGTATCTTTCAACTAAGATACCCTACATTGCTTGTGCCTATTTGTGATGAAATTTTGCCTTTTCTGTTCTTACAGTGATGGAGTGTAACTGTTCATCCATCTCTATAAAAATTAACTGGCATGTATGTGTGTGTGTGTGTGTGTATGATGCTTTGTCCATCTGTTTATAACTGTTTCAATGAAACGCATGACTTAGAATTAATAAATCTTCCTATTGAGAACATGTTATCTGAAGGTAACACTTCATGTTATGCAAGCCAGTACATTGCATTTGCTTAATATATGCCTACTGAAATGTACTGAGTATTTTGTTTTAATCAAAAAGACTATGAGTCTTTCATTTTTTTGGTACATGATGCAGGAAACCTATGCAGATGAAGAAGAATGCTTACTTTTGAATTATTGTAAAAAGATAAGTAAATAATGTTCCATTTTGCATAATAAAATGGCGAGTCCCTTATTGTTTATTAAATATAAAGTACTTTTCAAGGCCTATTTGAATAGTTTTGGTGTGATTTATTTCAAAGAAGATATTTTTCATTTTAAAAAATTAGTTCATTGTCATACCTCTTAATAATTAATAACTAGAAAAAACAGGTGTTATTTTGTCATAAAAGTCATAAACATCTGACCCTAAAATAAATTAATTAGACCTAATCCTGAATTTTAAAAAAAAATAATAAATTGATATACTATTCCCAGTGCTAGTTCCAAAACCCTTGCTCAAGGCTTTTCATATTTCTTCATAGTCTAATGAATTAATTCTCATGAGGTATTATTTCACATAGCCTCAAACATAAAAGTATATTACAACCACATGTTGGACACAAAAATAACACCCAATATTAATTATGGTTAGTTTGAATAAATAGAACTTCCCTGCTAAAATTGGATAGGATGAATTAAACAAAAATGAGCAAGCTTTATACAAATATTTCCAAACTCTTGAATATTTTCCAGAATTCAGGATGAGTGATTTTCCTGCCTAGGTTCCTGAACAATTTATTGTCGTCCTAAAATAAATAAGCTGCTTTTTTACAAAGGGTTTTGTCATGTAATTTTTATGACAACTGATGGCCACACCACTAATGCCCTTTCTAGTTTGAGACTTCATCAAAAAGTTCCAAAGATATTTCTGCAATTAGTCTTTGCTTTCGTTTATTCCAGTAAGGTCTTAGATGAAACTGTGAAGATGAATGAACTCAATAAGTCAGTAGTGTGGTGTGCTAAGGTTTGATTTTAATTTATGACTATGGTTGAAAATTAAGTCAATGGGACATGACTGAAACCATTTAAAGACTGCCTCAAAGACAAAGAAAATTAGTAAGAATTTAATTAAAAGTTTTATGTGCATTGAAATAATTTCTTTTGGGTAATATAATAATACTTATGTAAGTATTAAGTCCAAGAAGATGATTGTTATATAATATTATTTTTTAATATTTAAGATAAATCCTTATTTTAGTTTTAAAAGTAATTAACATGATAAATATACAGCATGTTTCCCTTTAAATGTAACACTTTATATGCTATTGGTTTATTGGGATAAACATATTTTGTTCTTACATTTTTATTATTTATACAGGGAGTTGCAGTCTCTATTCAATCTATTCATTGCTAGTTCCCCAAAATATCCTCTAATTTGTAGTCACTAGGAACAAAACAGAAAAGGAATATTATAGAGTTATAGAAGGTCACTGAGAAAAATTGTTTTCTTACCTCTAATTAACAGACTTTCTTTGAATCTACAGAATATCATTATAGCAACTTAGTGTGATTTCCTTTTTTAAATCCCCCATTTTCTTATTATAAAATGGGTAGGTATTTTTTTGCACAAAATACAGATAAGCAAATATAGGGATATAAAAATCACCTGTGATTCCACCACCTAGAAATAACCCTTGTCAGGAGCGCCTCAGTGGCTCAGTCGTTAACTGTCGGCCTTAGACTCAGGTCCTGGGATCCAGCCCTACATCAGGCTCCGTGCTCAGTGGGAAGCCTGCTTCTCCCTCCTCCCTTCCCTCTCCTTGTGTTCCCTCTCTCACTGTCTCTCTCTCTGTCAAATAAATAAATAAATAAATAAATAAAATCTTTAAAAAGAAGTAACCCTTGTCACACTACTGTTTTCCTTGAGACATTTTTCTATGGCTGTTTATTTACAGAAATGGAATCATATGATGCATATGGTTTTATAACCTGCTTCTCCCCCTGCATCATCCTCTATCGTGGATGTCTTTTCATGTCTTTAAGTATGCTTCCTCAATGTTATTTTTGATGCTCAATCATATTTCAGTGTGTAGATATATCTTAGTTTATTTAGCCAATCTCTATCTGTTGGATAATAAAACTGTTCCAAACTTTCTGATGAATGTTGCAGAATGGCCACCCAGAAAAAAATTTACTATTAACTTTGCCCATTTTTCCAACCCTTGCTAACACTGAGGGCTGTCTTTAGAAATATCCTTGCTAATAAAAGACCTAAATGTGAGATAGGAAACCATCAAAATCTTAGAGGAGAACACAGGCAGCAAGGTCTTTGACCGTAGCCATAGCAATTTCTTATTAGACATGTCACCAGGGGCAAGGGAAACAAAAGCAAAAATGAACTATTGGGACTTATCAAGATAAAAATATTCTGCACAGCGAAGGAAACAATCAACAAAACTAAAAGGCAGCCTACTGAATGGGAGAAGATATTTTCAAATAACATCTGATAAAGGGGTAATATCCAGAATCTATAAATAACTTATCAAACACAACACCCAAAAAACAAATAATCCAGTTAAGAAATGGGCAGAAGATATGAACAGACATTTTTCCAAAGAAGACATCCAGATGGCTAACAGACACATGAAAAGGTGATCAGCATCACTCATCATCAGGGAAATACAAATCAAAACCATGATGAGATACCACCTCACACCTGTCAGAATGGCTAAAATTAACAACACAGGAAACAAAAGATGCTGGCAAGATGCAGAGAAAGGGGAACCCTCTTACAGTGTTGGTGGGAATGAAAACTGGTGCAGCCACTCTGGAGAATAGTATGGCTGTTCCTCAAAAAGCTAAAAATAGAACTACCCAATGATCCAGCAATTGCACTACTAGGTATTTACTCAAAGGATACTAAAATACACATTTGAAGGAATACATGCATCCTTGTCACCTCACTTCTGTCCTATTTCTACTTCACCAAGCTCTAAATGTTGTTCTTATCTCTTCATCTTCATTGCCAGAGTCCAATCTACCACTACCTTTTGCTGGGACTCCCCAATGTCTATAGCATCATTATCAACAATAACCAAACTATGGAGAGGGGCCAAATGTCCATCAACTGATGAATGGATAAAGAAGAGGTGGTGGATGGGATACTACTCAGCCATCAAAAAGAATGAAATCTTGCCATTTGCAATGACCTGGGTGGAGCTAGAGTATATTATGCTAAGCAAAATAAGTCAGTCAGAGAAAGACAAGTACTATAGGATTTCACTCATATGTGGAATTTAAGAAACAAAACGGATGAGCATTCAGGAGGGGAAAAAGAGAGATGGGGGAAACAAATTCTGAGAGACTCTTAACTATAGAGAACAAACTGAGGGCTGATGGAAGGAGATGGGAGGGCAATGGGATAGATGAGTGATGCGTATTAAGGAGGGCACTTGCTATGATGAGCACTGGGTGTTATGTGTAAATGATGAACCAATGAATTCTCCTCCTGAACCAATACTGAACTGTATGTCAAATAACTAGAATTTAAATTAAAGAAAAACAATATCCTTGCTAACTGAGTATATAAAAACTGATATCTCATTTTATTTTCTTTATTTTTTTATTTTTTTAAAGATTTTATTTATTTATTTGACAGAGAGAGACACAGCGAGAGAGGGAACACAAGCAGGGGGAGTGGAGGAGGGAGAAGGAGGCTTCCCGCTGAGCAGGGAGCCCGATGCGGGGCTCAATCCCAGGAACCCGGGATCATGACCTAAGCCGAAGGCAGACACTTAACGGCTGAGCCACCCAGGCGCCCCTGATATCTCATTTTAAATTATAATCCTTTTATCCAGTAAATACTGTATAACATCTACTAAAAGCTAGGCACTGCACTTGGCATTGAAGATACAATAGTAGAAACAGACCTGGATCTCTGTCCTCATGGAGCTTAGGATCTGGTAATGGAGGCCAATATTAATTAAAGAATCACACAAATGTATGTACAATTAAGACTGTAATAACTACAAATAGAAGAAGTTCTGGTCACACTGAAAGAGTGTAAAAGGGGAACTGACCAAGTCAAGAGAATTTGGACATTAAGGGCTTCCCTAAGGAAGTGATGGTTGAGCTGAATTCTAAAGGAAGAGCAGGAGTTACTTAGTTGAACAGGAAGTGAAGCATTCCTGGCTGAATACCTTCTATCAGAAAAGAGAAAAGATAAGGGCCAAACTTTGCAGGGTCAGATGTAAGATCTGGGCTGTTGTTGTAAGAGCAGTGCTAAATCACGAAAGGGTTTTAAGTAAGAAAGTGAAATGCTTGATTTTACTTTGAAAAGAAAGCTCTGGTGGTAAAACACAGACCTAGGTGGGGGCCAGAGTGAATTTGAGAAAAGCGGTCAGAGAGCTATTGGAGGAGTCCCAGCAAAAGGTAGTGGTAGATTGGACTCTGGCAATGAAGATGAAGAGATAAGAACAACATTTAGAGCTTGGTGAAGTAGAAATAGGACAGAAGTGAGGTGACAAGGATGCTTTGGTTTCTAGAAAAGGTAAGGAGAAGGAGAACAATGAATTCAGTTTGCTATTTATGATGTCTTTGAGTCTCTTTTGAGATGTTGAAGTGGAGATTGTTTCAAGGAAGTTATAGTCCCTTGTCAAATGCTACTTAAGAATTGAGTAAATCCAAGACCGAAAAATGCCCATTAGATTTACTGGCATAAAAGCTATTGGTAACTCTAGAAAGAGTTTTTCAGGGGAGTGATGGTGGCAGAACCCAAATTGAAGCAAATTAATTAATCAATCAATGGAGAGGAAATGAAGATATGAAATGTAGAGAACTCTCTTGCAAAGTTTGACTATGAATGGGGAGGTGAGAGAAAGGATATTAAGAGAGATGCCAGATCAAGGAAGAGAATTTTTTTCTTTTTCTTTGTGGAAGATAGTTTTAATATGTTTAATATATTTTAAAGCTGATGAGAAAGAGCCAGTGAAGAATGGGAGATTTACTATGTAAGACAGAAAAGATTCTTTTAAAAATAAAATTTTTAAGAAAGTGGGGAGAAGTTGGAGCCAATGCACACATAATAGAAGAAAAACAGGTGTCTTTGTATGTCTGTAAACTAAAAGATGTAAGAGTTACTATGTATTTTCTCTGTGAATTAGAAGACAAGGTCATCTTTGTTGGAGAAGGAGGGAAGCAGGAGAATGTCTGGAGGTTTGAAGAGAGTGAAAATACTTGAAAAAAGTAATTCAAGGATTAAGAGAATGAATTGACCAGGGTAATGTAGGAGGACTCTCATTGTGGAGGGTCCATTTAAGATTGATATTCATGAATTTATAGTGAAACATTTTGGAAAAAGTTGGGTGACTTCCCTTGGAAGATTAGCCACCTGGCACAAACACAGAGGAAATGGGCAGTTGATTTCATCCAAAGCTGGAGTTTTGCTAGAAACAAGTTATTAAACTGTAAGGAAGTTTAGGGCTTAGGAAAAAAAAAATGTTATTGAGAGTGGTAGACCATGGAATCTAAACTATGTAAGGAAACAAGTGCAGGAAAAGGAAGAGCTGATGGTCCAGGAGAAAGTAGAGCTAGGGATGATCAATGGGCCAGAAATCCAGATGAAGTCAGAGAATGGTCATAGTGAAAACTGAAAGGTAAATTTTATCATGTCTCTAAATTTTAGAGACAGTGTACTTATTGATGATCGCAAGGTATGATCATGGGAATTGGCGGCCAAGGTAAAGAAAATATCACTGGGAATGAGAATGTTAAGAAACTAAGGAGCTGGGATATTATATTTACCATCCATGTGGACCTTGAAATCACAGCTTGGAATAGAGAGGAAGACTAGGAGTCAGGTGCTAAAGTGTATCACAATTTAGGTGAGGGAGAATAACTAGAAGGAACAGAGGTTTTTAAAAAGAGTGGAGAAATAATGGTCTGGAATCCACAATGGGGGAGCATGAGCACATCAAGTCCATTTCTGACCTGCTTCTATGAAGGATGTGGGGAAAAAAAACGTTCTCCAAATAAGAAGAAATATTCCCTGGAAAGGGATAGTTCCAGAAGGCTAGGTGGAAGGGATCAAGAGATTGGGAGATCTCGGAGTCTGTCAGGGGCGAGGAAGTACAGCATATACATTATTGGGGCAGTGTTGAGAATAGATGCCTCAGAGTCTTATATTTGGGATAATGACTGTTGACATTAAGTAAAGGGAAATCGCTTACATTAGACTAAGACATGAGAGATGAAAGACATGGTGGATTTCAATTCAATGACGTTTATGATAAGAGTGAGCACTGGACCTAGTTCACTGAAAATCATTATTAATTATTAGAACATTTCCTCTTTTTTCCCATTGGTACATTTTCTCTTTATGTTTCTTTTGCAAACTGCTGATTCATTTCTTTGACAATTTCACATTGGTGTATTTCTCGCTTTTACCAATTTGTAAGTGTTCGTTGTATAGTGAAAATATTTGCTCTTTCCACAACAAAAAAAATGAATTTTGACTTAATTTTATGAGCTTTTTAGCATAAAAATTTAAAAAATACATACGACAAAGTTTGTTAGCTTTTAACTCCATGGCTTCTGCTTTTGTTATGTGATAATTTTGAAATGTAAAATTTCTTCTACTGTTTGTTTACCTCTCCCTATAGCGATATGTTTTCTTTTATCCTTCCTCAGCATTCCAGTGGTTCAAAGTTAATACATAATTCTTGTGGTTGTTTTTCTCACACTGTGATTGGTTGCGATGAGATTTTTATCTGTATCACAATCATTTGTATTATGGTCTGTAAGGAAATCTCTGATTCTTGCTCTTTATGAGAGAAAGTACAACAAGGACAGGAATAGAGTATCATCTCTAAAATCCTATCTTTACATTTAGCTTCAAGTGTCTTTGCATGGCCTGACTAATATAGATCATATAGGCTGATACAGACTAATATAGTAGGCGAGTAGCTAATAAAGCTTTTTGAAAGAAGAATAAATAGCTTATATTCAAATTTCTGTACCTGCGGGAAGATGCATGGAGGATTTGTCAGGGTAAAGGGGACTAGAGCTACTTTGCTGTATGGGAAACACAGAAACGCTGCAACGGACATACATAATTATTTCTCACTCATGTTAGTCTCCTGAAGTGAACACTCAAGTCATTAAAGGGTTCTGCCCCACAAGGCCTTAGGGCCTTATCCTGTTGGTGTGGCTGAAGCTTGGAAGAAAGGGAAAAAAAAAAACAACAAGAAGTCGAGGGCAAGCAATTTTCCTTGACTTAAGCGAGGAGGCAGAGGTTGAACTCCTGTCCCGCTGATGAGAACTGAGGCGCCCGACCGCACCTAGCTGTGAGGGAGGCGGAGAAATGTAATCTCCATAGGGGTTCTCCTGTGCGCAGGACAAAAGAACAGATCGGGGGGAGTCCATCCAGCGGTCCACCACATCTGGGGTGGTGTTGTGGCTCTGTCTACAAAAAGGCTGAAGGATGTACTAAGAATTTTTCCTGAATAGAAATTTTAGATTAAATGTGTTTACTTACTGTGTTTGCTTACTTTGAAAATTACCGTTTTTAAAAACCCGCAAAATCAAAAGGAAATGTCTGCATCTAGAGAAAGGATTTAAAGTTCTTGACACTTATATTCCCTCTTCCTTCTTTAAATTTCTCTTCAGATATACACTCAATGACAGAAACCTTGGCAGGATTGTCACCATAGCAGAACCTTTCAACACTGAATTACAGCTCTGGCAGGTATGAAGTTAAATCCCTCTAAACTTGTCCAGGAATAACAGAATTAAACTTTTTTTTTTTTTTCAAATGGAAATGGCATTTTCTCTATTCAGATCTCAGAGGACAAGGAGAAAGTAATAATTTTTATATCTAATTAAATGTAGACTTATTTTTTCTAAACTAAAAACAATTCAAATAACCAAGAAACAAAGTGTAAAAGTTGAGAAAGCTGAGGCCTTGAGAGGCATAGAAGGCCACCTGAGACCTTTCGGCTTACCAAAGCGTGGACAGTATGTTTCCCCTTCCTTCGTAATTGTAACTTGGAATAAGATGGTCAAGATTTGATTCCTTTCAAAATTCATAGTTTTGGAATTTAAAGATGTTTAGGTTTCAAATATCTCAGTTCCCAGAGGGCAAAATGTTTATTAATATTGGAAAATTGAGATTGTGTGAATTTTCAATGTCTGTATATTACCTATTGGAATGTTAACATTTCTTCTGAACAAAATAATTCTTATTTTTGTTAAGTGGCAAACAATACTATGATTGAGTTTGGGGGAAGGTTTTGGAAGGAAGACGAAAGAGAGAACCAAGATTAACAGAGATGTTATTATGAGGCCTTAATAAAGGAGCTGAAAGTATATTAAAATATTCCCAACCCCTGGAGTGAAAGGCTAAGCAAAGCCCGCATCCCACAGACTGGGTTTTCCAGGGAGCAGGCTGAGGAAGGCACAGAAAATAGAGAAGCAGCAGAAGCTCCGAGGGGCATGCAGCCGCTGGTGTGCTGCTCTCCTTCCCCAAGAGGGCAGATCCTCTCTAGACCTGACGTGCTGCCCAAAGTCCAAAAGCCACAGGCGACAACTGCCAATCTGAGAGACGGGCTCAGTCTAATTGATGCACCAGTACATGTAACTCAGTGTTGTGCGATGAGAATGAATTTCAAGGAAGAAGGAAACCAATCTAGCTTGTAAAAGAAGCCTTGAAGACTATTGGGCTGAAGATGACTTTCTTAATTATTGTCCTCTCTTTTCTAGATGGAGAGCTTTTTCAAAAAATACCCAGATGCTGGAGCAGGAGAAAAACCTAGGGTGCAAGTGCTGGAAACAGTGAAAAACAATATCGAGTGGTTAAGACAAAATAGAAACACCATAAGACAGTGGTTTTTGGATTTACCTTAAGAATGGTTGATGTGCCCAAATATCATATTTTAATTTTGTGAATCTATTGTTTCTCCTATTATATCTTTGGTGGCCGAATTTATAAGCACGGTGGGGGGAAACTTATACGCAGATACTGCTTTTGCGAAGTAATGTGTTTCTGTGTCTTGCAAAGCTTTTAAATTGTTTATGAAGGAAGATACTAATAGAGTAGTTAATGCACTCAGGGATTTCTTCTAAGTGTACTTCATAGGAGATTCTTTGCAAACTACAGAGAATTTAATAGCCATTTTCATGTCTCTAACTATCATTCTTTATATCTTAAATCTGTGAAAATAGAACAATTTGGTCTTAGCTTTACATTTTTAGTACCAAAGAAACACCCCTTAATCTTCTTTCTTGATTGAATTTTAAAGCTTAAATACCAGTACTTGAGGGACCAAAGTTACCATCTTAATATTTATTTTATTATTCAGAATTACACATATCTAATACCATTGTATTCACATGTGTCTTACTCCTTTAAATCCTACCAAAGTAACCCAGGTTTAAATTTTACTCAAGGATTGCATGAATTAACCAAAGAAATGGCTATTGCCTTCACTATAAAATCAACAAGAGAACTCTCTTCTCCTTTTTAAAATAAATCTGAATGATTAACCTGAAGAAAATATGTTGTTGTTTTACTCTCAAATAATAATGACTACAGCATTCCCCAAATAATTGAGTGTGAGGCAAATGCAGTTCAAGAACCTAGCCTTTTTCATGTTTGGTACTCTGTTGTCCTGTTCCATTCCCTACAAAGCTCCTTCAAATATGCTATGACATTAGAGGGAAGATAGTGCTTAACTTTGCTCCGTGGATTTTAGAGAAAAAAGGCTAAATAATTGGAGACTGGTCAGGAAAAAGAGAAGGCTGATTATTCCATAAAACTAAATGGAATTAGAATTTAGCTTTGATCTAACCTAGCAATCTAAGTGTGAAAATGAGGAAACCCATGTGTGTCTCCAGCATGACTCTGCATATCTGAGGATATATCTTCTTATAGATAACTTTTATGTATAAGCCCTTAGATCCTAATCCATACAGAATAGCACTGATCAAATTTATATTCGTGACTTGATTAAAGACATCAGTTTTGTAGAAGCTGGTGGCAAGAATATGTTTAATATGGCACTTGATGCCTAGTAGATCCACAATTTAAGTCCAATAGACAGCAAAGAAGGTAAATGACTATATTTCAGTCTGCTATATCTAGAAAATCTAAATTTATTTGGAACTTTCAGAAGTATAAAATAATTTAAGATTGATTTGATGATAATTGAAGCACATGAAAACAATCAAAATCTTAGCTTTGACTTTATCTACATAATAATGTGCCTTAATTAAATACTCTCAGACTTTGTAAACTTTCCTACTGCTATTTTTTTAATTATTGCTTCTCAACCTACACAGCTAAACTGACAAATTCAAAGCAGACTGGAGGGGAGGGATTTAAAAAAAAAAGAAATTTCCAGACCAGAACTTTAAAAATATTATTTTAAATGACTTCAGAAGAAAAAGCACATTGACACCATAAATCATCAGGAAAGCCCTACTATCCTCATGAGGGTTAACAGCCTAACTTCAAATTAATCACAATCAAAACCAGCACTTGAAGTCTATGTATTGTTTCAAGTCGACAAATAAGAAGGGGTTGTCCTGCTTTATGTAATAAACACATTAAAAAAAAAATAAGTTTGAGGGGGATGGTAAATAAAACAATTCCAACTTGCCTCCAAGTCATTCTGTTTCATTCCATTTTAAGCACTAACATGGAAAATGAATTATTTAGTTCTCTTTGCATCACGTGCAAAAGAGCCGCGCACACTCTGTCATAATAACTTCACTAGTCCATCAGGCCCTTCTCAAACAGCATCTGCTTTTTAAAAGGCTGATGACCGATAGACCTATGCCGAAAACAATTTACTACTCTGCTTGCTTGGTTTGTCCTGATTTCCACAAGGGAGGAAAATTAGTATATTGTTTCCAAAATTAAACTGTAGTAAGCCATCAACTTTTAAAAATTAAATGGAAGAAATGATCAGCAAGGTCATGTAGCAAGGAGCAGGGTAGTGTTATTGCCTTGGATCTAGGCAGTCTACTCCTGTATTCCAGATCATTGCCATGCACCCACATAAAAAAAAAAAAAAGGAGCCATAATAATGACAATAAAAGCATCTACTATGTATTCGGTGATTATTATTTCCCATACATTCAGGCTTTACCTGCATTCTTGCATTTCATTCTCACAGCAACCCGTATCTATTATAGGGGCACCTGGGTGGCTTAGTCAGTTAAATGTCCAACTCTTGATTTTGGCTCATGTCATGATCTCAGTTTCATGAGATCAAGCCCCATGTCGGGCTTTGTGCTGGGCGTGGAGCCTGCTTAAGATTTTCTCTCCCTCTCCCTCTCCCTCTCTTTCTCTTTCTCTCTCTCTCTCTCCCTCTCCCTTTTTCTCTCTCTCTTTCCCTTTCAAAAAAAAAAAAGAAAAATATCTATTATATTACATCTATTATATTGTTTCAGGTACCGGTTGGCCTAGATTCAGGAATGGATTTAGAAGACAGATGGAAGGGGGGAGCCTGGGTGGCCCAGTCAGTTAAGCGGCTGACTCTTGATCTCAGCTCAGGTCTTGCTCTCAGGGTTGTGAGATCAAGCTCCATGTTGGGTTCCATGCTGGGCATGGAGCCTACTTAAAAAAAAAAAAATAGAAGACAACTGGAAGAAAAATTGAGTCAGGGGATTAATGGATGGGGTGAAACACATGGGGCAAGGAGAATGTGGGAAGTCATTGACTAACTTCAGCAAATGACAATACTTTGACCTGATACTCCCCTGGAAAGCCTTTAAATACTATTTGCTACTTACCTGAATAAAATGTTTCTTTCCTAATGGCAATTTAGGTTGTCTGATTTGAATTGTATCTGACAATATGCTAGACGTTGTCTATTGTAACTGCGCTTCCATTTCTCGCATCTTCTCTGTCCCCATCCTCCTGTATTGCCAAGCTGGGATGCCAAAAATGACGCTTCCCTGGCTTTCACATGATTTAAGTTCTGCCAGTGATAAGCACTTCTATGAGACTTGAAAGAAAAGAGAGAAGAGAGGCTGTTCTTCCTTTTCAGGAGAGTGCAGGGGAAAGCAGTTTCTGGGGTAGATGTGAGTTGACAGCTTCTGAACTCATGTGTATTTGCCACCTCTATGGTGCAGGGAAGCTCTGATGAGACACTCATGGTTTACTCACTTCTGGATGATACTAGCAGTTTCTGATCTCTGGAGAAGAATGGTGGTGATATGCAACCTTGAAACCAGAAGCCTGGCACTAACCCTCTGACTTCTATTCTTCCTGCACTTTTAATGATGTGTAAGTGCCTAATGCCTTGTATTTGATCTTTTTCTGCTTAGTATACCTACAGTATTTTCTGAACTGACCCTTGAATGATACAAAGTGTAACTACAGATTTTGTTTGGGTTTATGTTTCCATTTTACCTTGTGCTCCTTTCCTGCCATTGTCCTTAGCATATAAAAAACTCCAAGGGGCGCCTGGGTGGCTCAGTCGTTAAGCGTCTGCCTTCGGCTAAGGTCATGATCCCAGGGTCCTGGGATCGAGCCCCGCATCGGGCTCCCTGCTCAGCTGGGAGTCTGCTTCTCCCTCTCCCTCTCCCCCTGCTTGTGTTCCCTCTTTCGCGGTGTCTCTCTCTGTCAAATAAATAAATAAAAATTAAAAAAAAAAAAAAAAGCTCCAAGCTGGGTCTGTTGCTTGGCACAGACTGATGGACTGGATTGACCCTCAGAGAGTCCATTCTAGCCTCGATGAGTTTTAGAATATAGGAGAAATTATGAAAGGCAGCATTTGAGACAGATTGATATCTGTAATCAAGGAAAAAAATCTGGAGTGGTATGTTTTCCTTTTGTGTTGGGATACATAGGCACACTAGAATGCATCACTGATAAACCATCAAACTTGACTTCCCCAATTCCTCCAATGTTAAACATAGAGTTACCAAATGATGTGGCAATTCCACTACTTGTAATATACCCAAGAGAATTGAAAATGTAAGTCCACACAAAAATTGATACATGAATATTCAAAGAATCATTCATAATAACCAAAAAGTGGAAATAATCCAAATGTCCAGCAGCTGATGAATGGATAAACAAAAGGTGGTATAGCCATACTTTAAAGAGGAATGAAGTAATATGATATATACCTTAACATGGATAAAACTTGAAAATATTATGCTAAGTGAGAGAAGCTAGTCATAATAAGCCACACATTGTATAATTCTATTTTTATGAAATGTCCTAAATAGGCAAATCTGTAGAGACAGAAAGTAGATTAAGTGGTTGCCAAGGGCTCAGGAAGAGGATATGGGAAGTGATTGCTAATGCTTTCTTTTTGAGATGATGAGAATGTTCTAAAATCAGATAATGGTGAAGCACCTGGCTGGCTCACTCAGTAGAGCATATGCAACTCTTACTTGCAGGGTCATGAGTTCAAACCCCATGTTGGGGGTGGGGCCTACTTAAAATTAAAAAATAAAATAATGGTTATGGTGGCACAAGTCTAAATACACCGAAAACCACTGAATTGTAATACTACTTTAAAAGGTTGAATTTTATGGTATATGAATTATATCTCAATAAAGCTATTACAAAAAAAGTTGTCTTCCCTTTTTGGAGTCTCACTAAGCTAAGTCACACAGTAGTATGGGCTCATGAGAAAGCCTTATATGCTCTGCAATAGACAGTGGGAATTTAGTGGCATAAACACCAAGTGCTTATGAAGTTTGTCTCCTTAAAATTGTTTCTACTTCCTGATTCGAGAATTTGCATTATTAATTCCAAAAGACCCTTATATTTTTATTCACAGATTAAGCTGTTTCTTAAATTGCATTTTTCGTCATCAGGATTCCATGTGATCTTGACATGGTGCCTCATTTCCCACATCTCCCACCCTTCCCACCATGGTGCCCCATCCCCATGTTGCTCAGGAGTGACCACTTGACCCAAGCAGAGCAAATTAATGTATTCTGGGGTTATGACATATGGATATTAAAGAAGTCCTCTTTCTCCTGGGGTTGCTGAGATAGAAGATTCCTGGGCCATTCTTGGCCATCTTACTACCACATGGAGAGAAGCCAAGTGAAAATAGCAGAGCTATGAGAGGAAAGACACAGAATCCTGATGACATTATTTGAGCCCCTGAATCTGTCTGTACGTAGGCATCCCTAAGATCTTTGAAAAAAAAATGAACCTATAAATTTTCTCTATATTTAAACTAGTTTAAATTGAGTTTCTGTCACTTTCAATGAAAAGAACCCCAATACTATGTTCCCTCACATTCTCCCAAGAAAAATTATATAACTAGAGGAGAATGCTATGGAGAATACATTGTTAAGACTAATAGGAAGGGTCAACAATTGTTACTGGATGGAAGAAAGGAAGGAAAGAAGGAAGGAAGGGAGGGAGAGAGAGAAAAGAAAGGAAGAAGGGAAGGATAGAGAGAGGAAAGGAACACTTTAGTTGGAAAGGAAGGAAAAGTAAGAAAATTGTCATAATTATCATCACATATCAGCATGTAAATGGAAGAACTCTTCTAATTTGTTTTCTAATATTCCCATA